CTCAGCGGGCTGTTTGCATGTATAAGGCGTTGTTTACATGTCACACCCAGCGGGCTGTTTGCATTTATAAAGGCGTTGTTTACATGTACACCATGTGAGTCCATATAACATAAGGGATACACAATAAACTTTTTATACAAAGATAAGGCATTATATTCCTTTTCTTTTCTTGTTACAAGGATGGAGGAGAAACCTGCAGGGTAATCATCTACACCGCAGAGATCATCACAGGAGAACAGAGGGGAGTTTCACCATTCATCCCTTCCTGAAGGATCTAATCATAGAACATCAAACCATCACCTTATTGGATCTAAAAAGCTTGGCTTGCCTAGAATGGGCTTACAGGAAGGTGAACGCATAAGAATATTGTCAGGGCTCCGGGAATGACCAGAGGTGTGTGGACTGACACAGGGAAACACCGACTTCAGGTATAGCGTGTAAACAAGATAATTTATTGACAACACAAACATAAATGCAGTGCAACAAATTAAACCCAAAATTAACACAAATACAGTGGGGATCGAAAGTTTGGGCACCCCAGCTAAAAATTTGTATTAATGTGCATAAAGAAGCCAAGGAAAGATGGTAAAATCTCCAAAAGGCATCAAATTACAGATTAGACATTCTTATAATATGTCAACAAAAGTTAGATTTTATTTCCATCATTTACACTTTCAAAATAACAGAAAACAAAAAAATGGCGTCTGCAAAAGTTTGGGCACCCTGCAGAATTTATAGCATGCACTGCCCCCTTTGCAAAGCTGAGACCTGCCAGTGTCATGGATTGTTCTCAATCATCGTCTGGGAAGACCAGGTGATGTCAATCTCAAAGGTTTTAAATGCCCAGACTCATCTGACCTTGCCCCAACAATCAGCACCATGGGTTCTTCTAAGCAGTTGTCTAGAAAACTGAAACTGAAAATAGTTGACGCTCACAAAGCTGGAGAAGGCTATAAGAAGATAGCAAAGCATTTTCAGATGTCAATATCCTCTGTTCGGAATGTAATTAAGAAATGGCAGTCATCAGGAACAGTGGAAGTTAAAGCAAGATCTGGAAGACCAAGAAAAATATCAGACAGAACAGCTCTCAGGATTGTGAGAAAAACTATTCAAAACCCACGTTTGACTGCACGATCCCTCCAGAAAGATCTGGCAGACACTGGAGTTGTGGTACACTATTCCACTATAAAGAGATACTTGTACAAATATGGTCTTCATGGAAGAGTCATCAGAAGAAAACCTCTTCTACGTCCTCACCACAAAAATCATCGTTTGAACTTTGCAAATGAACATATAGACAAGCCTGATGCATTTTGGAAACAAGTTCTGTGGACCGATGAGGTTAAAATTGAACTTTTTGGCCGGAATGAGCAAAGGTACGTTTGGAGAAGAAGGGGCACAGAATTTAATGAAAAGAACCTCTGTCCAACTGTTAAGCATGGGGTTGGATCAATCATGCTTTTGGGTTGTGTTGCAGCCAGTGGCACAGGGAACATCTCACGAGTAGAAGGAAAAATGGATTCAATAAAATTTCAGCAAATTTTGGATGGTAACTTGATGCCATCTGTGAAAAAGCTGAAGTTAAAGAGAGGATGGCTTCTACAAATGGATAATGATCCTAAACACACCTTGAAATCCACGGGGGTTTACATCAAGAGGCGTAAATTGAAGGTTTTGCCATGGCCTTCACAATCTCCTGACCTCAACATAATTGAAAATCTATGGATAGACCTTAAAAGAGCAGTGCGTGACAGACAGCCCAGAAAACTCAAAGAACTGGAAGACTTTTGTAAGGAAGAATGGGCAAAGATACCTCAAACAAGAATTGAAAGACTCTTGGCTGGCTACAAAAAGCGTTTACAAGCTGTGATACTTGCCAAAGGGGGCAGTACAAGATATTAACTCTGCAGGGTGCCCAAACTTTTGCAGAAGCCATTTTTTTTGTTTTCTGTTATTTTGAAAGTGTAAATGATGGAAATAAATCTAACTTTTGTTGACATATTATAAGAATGTTTATCTGTAATTTGATGCCTTTTGGAGATTTTTCCATCTTTCCTTGGCTTCTTTATGCACATTAATACAAATTTTTAGCTGGGGTGCCCAAACATTTGATCCCCACTGTATATGTATATATGTGTGTGTGTGTATATATATACAGTCAGGTCCATAAATATTGGGACATCGACACAATTCTAACATTTTTGGCTCTATACACCACCACAATGGTTTTGAAATGAAACGAACAAAATGTGCTTTAACTGCAGACTGTCAGCTTTAATGTGAGGGTATTTACATCCAAATCCGGTGAACGGTGTAGGAATTACAACACTTTGCATATGTGCCTCCCACTTGTTAAGGGACCAAAAGTAATGGGACAGAATAATAATCATAAATCAAACTTTCACTTTTTAATAATTGGTTGCAAATCCTTTGCAGTCAATTACAGCCTGAAGTCTGGAACGCATAGACATCACCAGACGCTGGGTTTCATCCCTGGTGATGCTCTGCCAGGCCTCTACTGCAACTGTCTTCAGTTCCTGCTTGTTCTTGGGGCATTTTCCCTTCAGTTTTGTCTTCAGCAAGTGAAATGCATGCTCAATCGGATTCAGGTCAGGTGATTGACTTGGCCATTGCATAACATTCCACTTCTTTCCCTTAAAAAAACTCTTTGGTTGCTTTTGCAGTATGCTTTGGGTCATTGTCCATCTGCACTGTGAAGCGGCGTCCAATGAGTTCTGAAGCATTTCGCTGAATATGAGCAGATAATATTGCCCGAAACACTTCCCATCACTCTGGTACAAGTTGATCTTGGTCTCATCTGTCCATAGGATGTTGTTCCAGAACTGTGAAGGCTTTTTTAGATGTCGTTCGGCAAACTCTAATCTGGCCTTCCTGTTTTTGAGGCTCACCAATGGTTTACATCTGTGTGGTGAACCCTCTGTATTCACTCTGGTGAAGTCTTCTCTTGATTGTTGACTTTGACACACATACACCTTGATCTGGCCAACTGTTGTGAAAGGGTGTTTTCTTCACCAGGGAAAGAAATCTTCGGTCATCCACCACAGTTGTTTTCCGTGGTCTTCCGGGTCTTTTGGTGTTGCTGAGCTCACCGGTGCGTTCCTTTTTTTTTTACGAATGTTCCAAACAGTTGTTTTTGGCCACGCCTAATGTTTTTGCTATCTCTCTGATGGGTTTGTTTTGTTTTTTCAGCCTAATGATGGCTTGCTTCACTGATAGTGACAGCTCTTTGGATCTCATCTTGAGAGTTGACAGCAACAGATTCTAAATGCAAATAGCACACTTGAAATGAACTCTGGACCTTTTATCTGCTCATTGTAATTGGGATAATGAGGGAATAACACACACCTGGCCATGGAACAGCTGAGAAGGCAATTGTCCCATTACTTTTGGTCCCTTAACAAATGGGAGGCACATATGCAAAGTGTTGTAATTCCTACACCGTTCACCGGATTTGGATGTAAATACCCTCACATTAAAGCTGACAGTCTGCAGTTAAAGCACATCTTGTTTGTTTTATTTCAAATCCATTGTGGTGGTGTATAGAGCCAATAAATATATATATTTATTGTGTATGTATATATATGATATATATTATATGTATATATATAGAGAGAGAGAGAGAGAGAGAGAGAGAGAGAGAGAGAGAGAGAACACACAACGTAGTCAGGCGAGCCAGGTCGGTAGCTAACGGGCAGACAAGGTACAAAGAGTAGGCAGAAGATTGGTCAGGAGTAGCCGAGGTCTGTGCAGGCAGAGTTCAAGCAGAGTCAGGATAAGGCAGGAAGCAGACAGGATGCAGGTACAGGGGCTCATGGTAACAATACACCAAGGCACTGACTGCAGGCCTGGCCATTCCTTAAATACACCTCCTGCAATCAGCCTCAGGTGATGGCTTGATTGCAGGAGTGAGCTTCTGGCTGCTGAGAGCACCCGCTGGCCAGCCCTGGTACTGCAGCCCACACGGCAGGTGAGTCCCACCACCAGTGGTGAATCCATTCCTGACAGTACCCCCTCCCCTCAAGGAGCGGCCTCAGGACGCTCCAAACAGTCCTTAGTGAGCAAAATGTTCCACCGCCCGGGTCAGGTAACTGGCTGAATATCCTAATGCCGGAGTCAACCGGCTGGCTGATTTTCCTGCTGGTAGACTTCTCTTTGTGTAGGAGAACCCAGGAAGGCAGGTTACTGGACACAGGATCTCCAGGAGCAGGCTGGGAACCAGTTATTGGCCAGTTTAGCTGGACATCAGGGGCTGGCACATCAGGCTGGGCAGCGGACAGAGGCGCATCAGGCTGGGCAGCGGACAGAGGCGCATCAGGCTGGGCAGCGGACAGAGGCGCATCAGGCTGGGCAGCGGACAGAGGCGCATCAGGCTGGGCAGCGGACAGAGGCACATCAGGCTGGGCAGCGGACAGAGGCACATCAGGCTGGGCAACGGGCACCGAGCCATCTGGCAGAACAGCGGGCACCGAGTCATCTGGCAGAACAGCGGGCACCGGGTCACCAAGCTCGACAGCGGGCACCGAGTCATCTGGCGGAACAGCGGGCACCGAGTCATCTGGCGGAACAGCGGGCACCGAGTCATCTGGCGGAACAGCGGGCACCGAGTCATCTCTGGCGGAACAGCGGGCACCGAGTTATCTGGCAGAACAGTGGGCACCGGGTGACCAAGCTCAACAGCGGGCACCGAGTCATCTGGCAGAACAGTGGGCACCGGGTCACCAAGCTCGACAGCGGGCACCAAGTCATCTGGCAGAACCGCGGGCACAGAGTCATCTGGCAGAACCGCGGGCACCAAGTCATCTGGCAGAACCGCGGGCACCAAGTCATCTGGCACGACAGCGGGCGCTGAGTCATCTGGCTGGACCGCGGGCACCAGGGCGTCAGGCTGGATCGAGGCGTCAGGCTGGATCAGTGGGCACCGGGTCACCAAGCTCGACAGCGGGCACCGAGTCATCTGGCACGACAGCGGGCACTGAGTCATCTGGCTGGACCGCGGGCACCGGGGCGTCAGGCTGGATCGAGGCGTTAGGCTGGATCAGGGCGTCAGGCTGGGTAGCGTACACTGGGTCATCAGGTATCCGGGCTTTAGGCTGAACAGCGGGCACCGAGTTATCTGGCAGAACAGCGGGCACCGTGTCACCAAGCTCAACAGCGGGCACCGAGTCATCTGGCACGACAGCGGGCACCGAGTCATCTGGCACGACAGCGGGCACCGAGTCATCTGGCACAACAGCGGGCACCGAGTCACCAAGCCATCTAGCAGAACCGCGGGCACCGAGTCGAGTCTGGCAGAACCGCGGGCACCGAGTCATCTGGCGGAACAGTGGGCACCGGGTCACCAAGCTTGACAGCGGGCACTGAGTCATCTGGCACAACAGCGGGCACTGAGTCATCTGGCTGGGCCGCGGGCACCGGGGCGTCAAGCTGGGCCGCGGGTACCGGGGCGTCAGGCTGGATCGAGGCGTCAGGCTGGGTAGCGTACACTGGGTCATCAGGCATCCGGGCATCAGGCTGAACAGCGGGCACCAGGCTAGATAACAGAAGGCGGGTTCTCAGACCGCAGGCTGACCGGTTTGGATACTGGCAGGATGGTGCTGGTTGGAAAGAATTTTCGCTTCTTCTTGGTTTTAGTTACTGGAGCATTGTAAGTAAACGCAGGTCTGTAAATGGAGGGAGCAGCTTCTACAGAGGACTTCTTTACAGGGTTAAAGGCAGGATAGGTGCAGCGAGTGGGAACAGGGGACTGACATGTGGTAGATAGCAGGGTATACTGAGCTGTCACTGGGGGTGCTGTGGGAAATGGAGGAAGAGAGCTTTGAGCAGAGGAGTGATTAGAAGCAGGACTGGGTTGTTGCAAGCTGACTGAGGCTGGTTGTAACAAATCTGACCGTGTCTGCAGTACTGGTTGAACAAAGCTCAGCTTACACAAAGCCTGTCTGACCAAAGACTGCACTGCGTTTATACAATCCATTAGTTGTGAACATGCTGAATAATGCTCCAAGAAGCAATCCACATCATCCTCCAATAACCATACCAGTGACTCTACTTGGTCTGCACTAAATGGCTGCAAAAAGTCATCCCTGCTTTCAGGTTTACCAGATGAAGCCAACTCTGCACAAACCTGAATCAATGGTTGCACCTCAGAGAACTTTGTGCCTTGATCTACTAGGAAATGAGCGATCCGTATGCATTCTAGTAGCTGATCCCTGGCATACTCCTTCAGAGTCTGATAGGCATAATCTCTGTCATCTAGGACTAGCAGCGACAAATACACAACATCCTCAGGGTGCATCCTTCACAACAATAAGCCATGATGGCTTCCCTGTGCAGCCACTTCTGGTCAGGACTGGCCTTGGTGTAATGTCAGGGCTCTGGGAATGACCAGAGGTGTGTGGACCGACACAGGGAAACACCGACTTCAGGTATAGCGTGTAAACAAGATAATTTATTAAGGACAACACAAACATAAACGCAGTGCAACAAACCAAACCCAAAGCTAGCACAAATACATACAACAAGGTGAAACAAACCTAAACTGATTATATATTTATATGAGAACAACGAAGTCAGGCGGGCCGGGTCGGTAGCTAACGGGCAGACAAGGTACAAGGAGTAGGCAGAAGATTGGTCAGGAGTAGCCGAGGTCGGTGCAGGCAGAGTTCAAGCAGAGTCGGGATCAAGCAGAGTCAGGATAAGGCAGGAAGCAGACAGGATGTAGGTACAGAGGCTCATGGTAACAATACACCAAGGCACTAACTGCAGGCCTGGCCATTCCTTAAATACACCTCCTGCAATCAGCCTCAGGTGATGGCTTGATTGCAGGAGTGAGCTTCTGGCTGCTGAGAGCACCTGGTACTGCAGCCCACACGGCAGGTGATTCCCACCACCAGTGATGAATCCATTCCTGACAAATATCATAGTTGCAGCAGAGATTTAAACAGCAATGTGAACATACCCAGCAAACTTTGGACTCTTATATATACATGTTTTAATATTTGATTTGTTCACATATTCTTTACTTCAATTTTATTTTATTATTCTCTATATATCTTTTTGCTCCATATCAATTTATGCAAAAATATCTATTAGATTCACATTCATTATCTCACACATTATTATTATTTAATTACCGTATTTTTCGCTCCATAAAACGCACTCCCCCCCCCCCCCCCCCCAGAAAAGGGGGAAATGGGGGAAATGTCAGTGCGTCTTATGGAGCGAATATAGAGCGGCCAAGCCGGTATTTCTGCCGCCACCATGTCAGAATATCGGGCCGGCTGCTGAGCTCTTCTCTCCTGCAGGACCTTACCTGTTCCTTGCTCCAGCGTTGTAGTCTTCCCGCGCCGGTTTCTGTGACAGCCGGGTGCCCACTGCGCATGCGCGAGAAGCGCTGAGCTTTGTGAATAGTCCGGTGTCTTCTGGGACACATGACAGGTCCCAGAAGGCGCCGGGCCATTCACAAAGCGCAGCGCTTCTCACGCATCCGCAGTGGGCACCCGGCTGTCACAGAAGAGTGAAAAGGTCCGCAGTCTCTTGTCATCCCCTGCACTGTCTGCAGTCTCTGGTCATCTGTATTATGTCCCTGGTATTTTCCCTGTACTATATCCGCAGTCCCTGGTCATCTGTACTATGTCCACAGTCTCTGGTCATTCCCTGTACTGTGTCCGCAGTCTCTGGTCATCTCCTGTACTGTGTCCGCAGTCTCTGGTCATTTCCTGTACTATGACTGCAGTCCAATGGTTCAGAAAATTTTTTTTCTTGTTTTCCATCTCTAAAATCTAGGTGCGTCTTATGGTCAGGTGCATCTTATGGAGCACAAAATACGGTACTAATACTATACACCAAGTGGATGGTAAATTTGGTTTGATATAATTAACCACCACCACAACCCGTGATAAAGATAAATAATCTGTTCATCTACTACAGGAGCGCGGCATCTATTTTAAAATCATTTATGGAATTTTCTGCCCTTACTGTCACTTTGTATGGCCTCTCTGCCAAATAATTGAAGTCCCTTCATCTCTGAAATGACAGGACACCGTATGTTTGTCAAATCCATGAAGTATGGATATCATTGGCCTATTTTTAATTTCTCACCTTGTTCTAGGTTAGTGATGACTGGTTATCTATGCTACCTTTAGCAGTTGCAAGTTCCTTCACATGCATGTCCATGCAGTGCTGATACACGTGATTTTATATCTAATATCTAATCAGTTTGTATGCATTTTTACCTTGCATTTTTAGTCTGATTATTTCCATTTTTATGTTTATAGTATATCCATATTTCCACTCATATAGGCCATATGGCTTTTTAATATACATGTTTTTACAATGAGTTACAGTGAAGGAAAATAAATATTTGATGCCCTGCTGATTTTGAATGTTTGCCCACTCACAAAGAAATGATCAGTCTAAAAATCGAATGGTAGGTGTATTGTAACACTGAGAGACAGAATAGCAACAACAAATTCAAAAGAAATGCATGTCTAACAAATTATGCACTGATTTGCATGTTCATGAGGGAAATAAGTATTTGATCCCCTTCACAAAACATGACTTAGTATTTGGTGGCACATCCCTTGTTTGCAATCAGAGGTCAGACGTTTCCTGTAGTTGGCCACCAGGTTTGCACACATCTCGGGAGGGATTTTGGCCCACTTCTCTTGGCAGATGCTTTCCAAGTCATTAAGGTTTGGTGGCTGACATTTGGCAACTCGAACTTTCAGCTCCCTCCACAGATTTTCAATCTGATTAAGGTCTGGAGACTGGCTAGGCCACTCCAGGACCTTAATGTGCTGCTTCTTCAGCCACTCCTTTGTTGCCTTGGCCGTGTGTTTTGGGTCATTGTCATGCTGGAACACCCATCCACGACCCATTTTCAATGCCCTGACTGAGGGAAGAAGGTTCTCACCCAAGATTTGATGGTACATTGCCCTGTCCATCGTCCCTTTTGATGCGCTGCAATTGTCCTGTCCTCTTAGCAGAAAAACACCCCCAAAGCAGAATGTTTCCCCCACCATGTTTGGTAGTTGGGATGGTGTTCTTGGGGTCATAGGCAGCATTCCTCCTCCTCCAAACAGGGCGAATTGAGTTGATGCCAAAGAGCTTGATTTTGGTCTCATCTGACCACAACACTTTCAACCAGTCCTCCTCTGCATCATTCAGATGTTCAGTGGCAAACTTCAGATGGGCCTGGACATGTGCTTTCTTGAGCAGAGGGACCTTGCGGGCACTGCAAGATTTCAGTCCTTGCCGGCGTAGTGTGTTACCAATTGTTTTCTTAGTGACTGTGGTCCCAGCTGCCTGGAGATCATTGACAAGATCCTCACTTGTAGTTCTGGGATGATACCTCACTGTTCTCATGATCATTGACACTCCACGAGGTGATATCTTGCATGGTGCACCAGACCTAGGTAAACTGACAGTTGTTTTGTGTGTTTTCCATTTGCGAATGATTGCACCAACTGTGGTCACCTTCTCACCAATTTGCTTGGTGATAGTTTGGTAGCCCAGTCCAGCCTTGTGTAGGTCTACAATCTTGTCCCTGATATCCTTTGACAACTCTTTGGTCTTTGCCATGTGTAGAGTTTGGAATCTGATTGTTTGCTCCTGTGGACAGGTATCTTTTATACAGGTAACAAAATGAGATTAGCAGCACTCCCTTTTAAGAGACTAATCTCAGCTTGATACCTGTATGAAAGACAGCTGGTAGTCAGAAATCCTGGTGAATGATGGGGGATCAAATACTTATTTCCCTTGTGAACATGCAAATCGGTCCATAATTTGTTAGACATGCATTTCTTTTGAATTTTTTGTTGCTATTCTGTCTCTATGTTACAATACACCTACCATTTGATTTTTTAGACTTATTTCTTTGTGAGTGGGCAAACTTTCAAAATCAGCAGGGGATCAAATACTTATTTCCTTCACTGTATATATGTTTCATGTATATTTTTTTGATATATAATTATTTTTCTGTGTTTTCAACCACTTGCCCTCCTGAGGATTTACCCCCCTTGCCTCTTTTTGCTACTCGGCGCTGCACTAATTCAACTGATAATTGCGCCCGTCATGCAATGCTGCACCCAAACTAAATTTACGTCCTTTTTTTCAAACAAATAGAGCTTTCTTTTGGTGGTATTTGATCACCTCTGCGCTTTTTATTTTTTGCGCTATAAACAAAAAAACATTTTGAAGAAAAACTATATTTTTTTTTACTTTCAGCTATACAAAATATATAGTAAAATCAAAGTTAGTTATAAATTTAGGCCAAAATGTATTCTGCTACATGTTTCTGGTAAAAACAAATCTCAATAAGTGTATATTGATTGCTTTGTGTGAAAGTTATAGCGTCTATAAACTATGGTTCTGCAATTTACGCCATTTTTTTTGCTATACAGCGCTGCGCTAGTTTTAACGGACAATTGCGCGGTCATGCAATACGGTACATAAATGAAATTTATGTCCTTTTCTTCACACAAATAGAGCTTTCTTTTGGTGGTATTTGATCACCTGCGCACTTTTTACTTTTAGCGCTATAAACAGAAACATTTTGAAAAAAAATGTTTTTTAAAAAAACAATATTTTCTCATTTCTGTCATAAAAAATATCCAAAAAAATTAATATTTCGTCATAAATATAGGTCAAAATGTATTCTGCTACATGTTTTTGGTTAAAAAAAATCCCAATAAGTGTATATTTAATGCTTTGTGTGAAAGTTATAGCATCTACAAACTATGTTATACAGTGGGGATCAAAAGTTTGGGCACCCCAGCTAAAAATTTGTATTAATGTGCATAAAGAAGCCAAGGAAAGATGGAAAAATCTCCAAAAGGCATCAAATTACAGATTAGACATTCTTATAATATGTCAACAAAAGTTAGATTTTATTTCCATCATTTACACTTTCAAAATAACAGAAAACAAAAAAATGGTGTCTGCAAATGTTTGGGCACCCTGCAGAATTTATAGCATGCACTGCCCCCTTTGCAAAGCTGAGACCTGCCAGTGTCATGGATTGTTCTCAATCATCGTCTGGGAAGACCAGGTGATGTCATTCTCAAAGGTTTTAAATGCCCAGACCCATCTGACCTTGCCCCAACAATCAGCACCATGGGTTCTTCTAAGCAGTTGTCTAGAAAACCGAAACTGAAAATAGTTGATGCTCACAAAGCTGGAGAAGGCTATAAGAAGATAGCAAAACGTTTTCAGATGTCAATATCCTCTGTTCGGAATGTAATTAAGAAATGGCAGTCATCAAGAACAGTGGAAGTTACAGCAAGATCTGGAAGACCAAGAAAAATATCAGACAGAACAGCTCGCAGGATTGTGAGAAAAACATTTCAAAACCCACGTTTGACTGCACGATCCCTCCAGAAAGATCTGGCAGACACTGGAATTGTGGTACACTATTCCACTATAAAGAGAAACTTGTACAAATATGGTCTTCAGGGAAGAGTCATCAGAAGAAAACCTCTTCTACGTCCTCACCACAAAAATCATCGTTTGAACTTTGCAAATGAACATATAGACAAGCCTGATGCATTTTGGAAACAAGTTCTGTGGACCGATGAGGTTAAAATTGAACTTTTTGGCCGGAATGAGCAAAGGTACGTTTGGAGAAGAAGGGGCACAGAATTTAATGAAAAGAACCTCTGTCCAACTGTTAAGCATGGGGTTGGATCAATCATGCTTTGGGGTTGTGTTGCAGCCAGTGGCACAGGGAACATCTCACGAGTAGAAGGAAAAATGGATTCAATAAAATTTCAGCAAATTTTGGATGGTAACTTGATGCCATCTGTGAAAAAGCTGACGTTAAAGAGAGGATGGCTTCTACAAATGGATAATGATCCTAAACACACCTCGAAATCCACAGGGGATTACATCAAGAGGCGTAAACTGAAGGTTTTGCCATGACCTTCACAATCTCCTGACCTCAACATAATTGAAAATCTATGGATAGACCTTAAAAGAGCAGTGCGTGACAGACAGCCCAGAAATCTCAAAGAACTGGAAGACTTTTGTAAGGAAGAATGGGCAAAGATACCTCAAACAAGAATTGAAAGACTCTTGGCTGGCTACAAAAAGCTGTGATACTTGCCAAAGGGGGCAGTACAAGATATTAACTCTGCAGGGTGCCCAAACTTTTGCAGAAGCCATTTTTTTGTTTTCTGTTATTTTGAAAGTGTAAATAGATCCCCACTGTAGATAATGGAATTTACACAGCTTTTACTTTTTGACTGCCCATCACATTTCTTGAGCTGCCCAGGATAGTATAAACACCCTAAAATTACCCCATTTCAGAAGACACCCTAAGCTATGGGCTGAGAGGCATATTGAGTCCATGGAAGATTTATTTTTTTCAACAAGTTTCTGGAAAATGACAAACAATTATTTTTTTTTTTTACGCAAAGTTGTCATTTAAATGATATTTCTCACACAAGCCATGGGTATATGTGGAATTCCACCCCAAAATACATTCTGCTACTTCTGTCGAGTATGGGGATACCACATGTGTGAGACTTTTTGGGAGCCTAGCCACATACAGGAGCCTGAAATCCAATGACCACTTTGAAAGCCTGAAGGTGCGTATCTTCCTCATTTCACTTCCTCACTACAGACTGGACCCACTATGTGGTAGGGCTGCTAGATGGGGGGGGGGGGGGGCACTGAGGCCTATTGAATTATGGATCCCCTCAAGAAACAGAGCTATGAGGAAATAAAAAGGGCAGTCC